GTGAGATCGAGTCCTGGTAGACGTTCAAGGCAAGAATCTCCATTGAGAGTACAACTGTTCGCGCCGAAATTGTCCTCCGCGTGCTGAGAAAGTTCACAGCGACCGGTGTTCTGTAGTTGTCCGCTGCTCCTTGCGACATCGTCGGCGCGCGCCGCACGCGAACACCGCGATCGACTGATTCTCCGCTCTAGTCTACTGTGTAGCGGCGTGCCCAACTCGTGCGACTAATTTTGTATGAGTTGTAATAAAATTGAATTACAGGGAAGATTATTGGATTCTGCTAGTATGATTGGACGCGCTACGTTAACAATTGAGTTAGGTTTTTATTCAGTCGTGCGAAAAGCACCAATTTTTAAGCTTTAGCACCAGGGAGCTGTCTTCTGAAGCAATATCTCACCATCGGGACGGGTTTAGGCGTTTCCAAATGGAAAGTGCCACTGCTTTCAACAGGGAAACTGCTTCGATAGGCCAGCTAAACCATGTTATGGTGGTTAGTCTTTACACTACGGTAAAACTTATTCATTCCCGAATGTGAAGATCCCGCAAAAGTAATCATCATATTTCCAAGGCTGAGAATGTGACTCGGCAACGCACTGTGAAGCGAGCGCAAAGTATGTTACGGCTATCCACTGCAACCAACAAGTCTCCAGTTGCGAAGACTCTCTGTACTTTTGGAACCTGGCTTCACCGGTCGGGAAAGTGGGATTGTCCTTATGTAACGCTTCTACCACTATATTAAACATAAGAATAAAACGCTTGCACAGTAGATGAAATCAAATCGGGCGTAAAAAATATGTTATATTAGCGGAAAATGAATAATGAATAAACATAATTTTAATATAATTAACTGTACACAGATGCATAAAAATTAAATATGCATAGAAAACAAAAAAATACTGGCAACATATCAGTAATAGATGGTAGAATGAATGCCGTAGAATATCAAAATATTTTGGAAGCAAATTTGATGATTTCGGGTGAAAATCTTGAACTTCCTTAATTGGATCTTCCAACAAGATAATAATCCTAAGCACTCTGCAAAATCTACGAAGAAATGATTTCCTGAAAATAACATAAATATCCTGAAATGGCCAAGTCAGTCTCCAAATTTAAAATCTAATCGAGAATCTGTGGCGTAATTTGAAAATTCAAATCCAATCGAGATCTCCAACAAACATCCCGGATCTGAAGACCATATGCGAAGAAGAATGGAACAAAATACCAACTAAAATTTACAAATCATTAATTGAGAACTACAAGAAGAGGTTAGTTGCTGTAGAAGTGAATAATAGCTATTCTACAAAGTATTAAATGAAGATTATATATTCTTTTTTATATTGTACGAATACTTTTTTCATCCATTAAACAGATAATTAGGAGTTTATTTCTATAATATCAATTTTTTTCTGTTTTCCATGAATATTTAGTTATTATGAATCTGTGTACAGTTAATTATATGAAAAGTATGTTTATTCATTAGTTGGAAATACAATAAATTAAAAATTTGTATGTGTACGAATATTTGTTTCCCCCACTGTATATGATAGCAGGAACGAGGCGCTATTTTCCATAATATTTTCCAGCGAATCTGGGAAGTCTTAAGCGATAATATGTTTGTATAAAAATAATGGCAGTAAAATCAAACGTGGAAATTTCCTTGGCATCTGCAGTTAAATAAGATTCTTATCAGCGTCAACTTGAATCGAATCCTTTGGTTGTCAGAAGACATTCTTCCCGAAGATCACTGCTCTTTTCGTCTATGTTGCAAGGTGCATATGATTTTCGCAGTGAAGCAGTTTCAAGAGAAGTATCGCGCGCAGAATTCCTATCTCTACTTTGTTTCCGCCGATTTACAGCAACCAGTTGGATTCCTTTAGCGGTTTCAACGGAATAAAACATTCTGCGGTCTGTCACCAATCCTCACTCAGTTCTTCACTTGTCACCAGACAATGCTGCGATCAGAGAAGGGTGTGTACATATGCTCTATATAGGGATCTATTTGACCTACGTAGACTAGCTGAAAAAAAAAACTGTTTAAAAAATAGAGATGGCTGTCAGGCCTAATCTAGGAAGTCCTCTTAACAGATGAAAATGCGATGATGTCACATAACCTCAAAAACTGAAGGTAACGTTTACCAAGTGTTCTGGGGTCTTTAAACAGTTTTGACCCACGATCTCTTTGAAAAAAAATTAGGTCTTTTTTTCCAAACTGTGCACCAATGTACCACAGCTACTTATCAGCATTGACGACACAGAACTGAAAACTGTTGACAGTATCAAATACACGAAAGTGTCATCTTAGGCCTTTGGACAAAGAAACCTCAGCCATAATAAGCAAAGAAATGTAAGCTCTAAGGACGACTTCACACAGAAAGAAAACGCTATATCAGCCAGCGGCAGATTTGTCTAGGCAGCTGGGTATTTTCATTGAGGCACCATATGTAGATGCAAAGCTTCTATCTGTCCATTAGCATGGTTTCCAGGCACTTCTCAACGATCGTCTTCTCTGGATGATATTATCAAAAAGTTAACTTCTCAATCGACCATGGTGAGATTCGAAATTCAAGTCTTGAGACTAGAACGCCAACGCTCTAACCATTTGGCTACACACTTATGGACTACATAGCAGAGTATCATCACTATTGTCACAAAGCTTAAGAGGCACAACGCAGTTGTCTTTCCGTCACTATTACACTGGCGTGCAAAACATATGGATCACCTTGGTAAATTTAATTGTTTATACCTTTGTTAATTTTATCACTGTTGTAGCATATGGAAGGTTACTGACTAGAATAATCACACAAAGTTTGGTAATGAACGTTAATACTTAGGACACGAACAACACATATAAGATTCGACAGCGGAGCGTAGAAGTAGTCAACTGCTAGAAATGAGTCAAGTGAATTCCACAATGAATCTCCAACTGCAGTATATCTACCAACTGACCCACGTGGTCAGATGTGGCACGAATTTAATGTGGGGTATGCGAGCCCGTAGGCTCGGCCAAATATTCCCCGTAGACTCCGTATAAAACTGGGTCGAGTAGATGTGTCCCGAGACGAGACTCTGCCCTTCGACAAAGCCTCGTCTAGAGATCCTCTCTGCCAGGAGGCAGAGAGTTTGACCAGTACAGCTGGAGACGAATCCCCAAATGCACCCCAACATACAGTATTTACTACTCTATTTATGTGAATGGGAATATACTCATTATCGTCCATAGGTATGCTACAGCAATCCCATAATCGAGAATGATGAGCAGTATGCTTTTTTAAATACATTTTATGATCTTTGAAGGCCAGAAAACAAGGTACTGCATTTTCGTTAATGCTGTATGATGGATGGTAGAATATCTTAAGCGCACTGAAGCTGAAAAAAGGACCATGCAAAAATACTGAGCGAAAAATACACCAGCGAAAATTCAGATCGGATTTCTTAAAGTGTCTTTATTATTCCAGAAAGTACAAAACGCAAAGTATGGATTTGGTAAATAGTGTTGCTGCCTTTGGCTCGAATAATTGCCCCGATTCGATGTAGAATTGCTTGGAAAAAGGTCGAGATTTTTCTCATTGTAAATTTTTCCTATTCTTGTTGGCAGTAATTCCAAAGTTCTTGGAGATTTCGCGGTTTTCGTTGGAACACTTGTTTCTTCAGTTCCCATCACAATCGTTCCATTATATTGAGATCAGAACTTTGTCTTGGTTAGTCTTCCAAAAGTTGAAAATTTTCATCCATAAAAAAACTTTTTGTTGTTTGTGATGGGTGGCAAGGAGACCGTCATGCTGAAGAACTTTCCTATTTTCACAGACTGACAGAAATATAGACCGTAGTGAACTAATATAGCCAGCCAAGAATAGACATGAATACAATATGGGAACCAGTAATAAAGAGATCTAGAGAAAAAACAATAACATAAAAGTAATATGAGCTCTGGTAAAAAAAAATTCCTTACTGAGACATTAGGTTTATGAGTGCCATAAATTCATTCATGGCCCAGTGGTTATAGTAATCCAAAAGTGACTTGACCCAAAGAGTTGTGAGTTCAATACCTGACCACAACAATGGTGAACAAAAACTTGGAGAATTAACTGTAAACTGAGATATCCAGAATGGGCATGGCACGTGGAACTAGAATAATCTACCCCCGTTGACTAAATAAAGGAATCAGTTCGAAATTCCAACATATATCATCTGAAGATGGCCGGGGCGTAAAAAGGCCGAAACGTCGTGAATATGACAATAAAGATGAGAACAACAGTCCGAACAGTGTAAATAGTTACAATACCTCGTCTTAGAAAGACAGATAATATAATTATCCTATTTCGGTTTCTATTAAATTTTACCAATTTTCTTCTCCCATGCTTTTAATATTGAACTATAATGAATTGCCAATGGCTCTTAAATTCATCTTAATGAGATGGAACAATTCCTACTTAGAAATTTGCATATTATCGTAACTTTGGCATTTCACATTTTTCATTGGCCCAATAGTTTTGCATAGCCTTTTTTTCTACGTCAAACTACTTAAAGCGACGTATCTTCTGTTACACAGCATCTACGAAAACGAAACAACTTCATTTCTAATCCTCAATGTCCATAGACACCATTGATAAAAGCATACTAATAAACAATTTAACATCTTAATAAAATGAAGGTGTATAATCATCTTATGTACTTTTGAGCGACAGTGTATACATTGTGAACAGATTATCTACCGATGGCAACTGCCATAGCTGCAGAAGAGCTTTCATCAACGTGTCTTGCGCTCCATCTTAGGCATGGAGTGACAGGAAGATATCACCATTTCGGTATTCTTGATTTTTTTTGGCCAAATATCTCAAGGATGGAGGCCGCCCATGGAATCGCTACAAAAGAGAACCTTCAAGACAGTTTGTTTCCCTCGCTAAACGTGTTGATACAGAGAAAGAAAAGGTTTACGAGTGTGCACTCACAAGGAAACCACTAGTGAATGCGTGTCGCAACCAGGCACAGAAATCCAGTGAATGTTGTCACAGAATAACTTCTGTCCCTGCACTATCAACGGAATTACCGTGATCGGTCTGTTTCCAATATTGTAGGTCTAGACTCTGCCTAAAGTAACACTCTTTTGCCCATCATTGTGTAACACGATTTTTGCCCTTGGGTATCGACTGTTATTTCTTATTTCCTTACGCCTAGAAAGTATGAAAAAATGACTAACATTTCCTTCAGAATTTGCTTTTGTGACCAGAAGAATTATGTTTCTGAAGTTTACCTATTCCCATTGGGAAAACTAGCAAATGTGAACATTCTCTCTCACGCAAACTAGGGACAAAACGACATATGATTCAAAAGTAGTATTGATTAAGAGGCGTCACTAGCTAGCGTTACAGATGATTCCAATCGTTTCTAACAGACCGGTGACATTGTGGCTGAAGCAAGGTCCATTTTGAGTGCTGAAAAAAAGCTTGAAATACTCTGGTGACGCGTTCTCTGACCTGCGACTTGCACAATTTCATCTAACAAATTCCACTGGTTGAATCTCGACGTCAAAAAATCGTCATTATGGGAACAAGATGTCTGATCAGGTCGTTGAGGACTTTGGGGTTGGAGCAGTATTGGTTTATCTCCTCAGTTGTGCCTCTGTAATCCGGATCAATAACTTCATTCTTTTCTGAATAACTGTTCTCTTCCGGAGACGGGTTCTCTATCTTTGGAGGACTGGAGTACAGGTAGCTCAGGGCTGTGTGGAACTAGAACGATAGATGACAGAATGTCTGGATATATAATAGCAAGACCATTATTGTCAGCTCGACGTTTGGAGGGGTGCACACTGCAGAAGAAGCATTAATTCAGTGGTCAATTGGTTCCCTCCAAATTCTTCGTATTACGAATTTCCAGGCTCTGTTTTCCCCTCTGTGCCACCCTGCATAAAAGCAAAATAAAAATATGAATATAAAAATACAAATATATTTCCCCCAGTGTTATTAAAAAAAATTCTTTTGATCTTTTTTTCTAATTTTTAAAAATTGAGCGTTGAATATGAAAAATTCTGACTTTGGGTTTCAATTAATGTAGTATATATCACAAAATATACGGAATACCGAATATGAATAATATTTTATATTTTTATGGTTGTTAGCAGTGAGCTAGTACAGAAAACATCCATAATACTATATACACTAATGCTCTGTCGTTGAAATATACTTAATAGATATTTTTCAATGACACTGATTTTAAAAAGAAAATATATTTAAATTTTAAAAAATTCTAAAACTTTTATACTTAAATGTTACACTATCTTTGGATAAGCAAAACATTCCATCTTACCTCCTGGAGTTCTTTTTTCAGACAAGGTGCCCAGGATTTGTCTTGATTGCCGACAGGCATACCGAAATATGCCATGCAGACCTCACAGACTTTAGCAGATGTTGCCACAGAGTACTTTTTCGATCTTGCCTTGAAAAAATCGCCACATACATAGAAAGATTCATCTGCCAATGCTGACAAACTCTTGATGTCATCTGTGACAAAGACTTGTCTGCAATTGGACAGCGAGAAGTAAACTGAATATTTATTACTGTAATATCTATCTATAAAAGGCAGGATGTGTGTGTTGTAACGAATGCAGGGTCGCAATTTTCGACGGATTTGCACCAAAATTTACATGCACATGCTCCAAGTTAGCGGGAAGGCCAAGAGCGACTTTGCATTTCCCAACTCCCATCGATAGTGGAAGTAATCTATTTTTTCGTGCTTCTACGGCAGTTTTCATGTAGTTTGCGGCCATTTTGTAGTGGCCAGAGTGAGAGCCTCTAGCTGGCTGCCACGAATATGCAGGAAGATTCTATTGGCTAGCGTGAGAGACAACAGCTGACTGACACGAATGTTAACTAGCATGCTAGCATGCAAAAAAAAATTGATAGCTGCATTCGTCACAAGTGGGAAAAATTTAAATTTGCATGGCACTTTACTCCAATTGGCTCATTCGCTTGCAAAAACTCAACGTTGATTCTGATTCCGCAGAACTGGGTTGGGTGTGAAAAATTATTTGTTGTTAACATTCTTTTTTCATTCGGTTTTCCCAGTTACGAGTCCTTTTTTTAAAGCTGATCGTTTTGTGTTCATTTTGTTTAGTTCTTTTTTTAACAGATTTAATGTTTAGTATAGAGCTTAGAAAAAATTCGCAGTGTGAGATAGGCAAGAAGTAAGGCATGTAGCAACATCAGCACAGCAAAGGGCACTCCTTTAAAGGCAAGGAAGAGCAAAAATATTTTAAGTCAAGTGATAGCGATTGCTGTATGAGTCGTACGATTTTTTAATCAAGCACAGGCAACACCGGGCCATGCTGCTAGTGTACAATAATTGTGGCACAAGGCCAGATGGGGAAATGGGGGTGAGGCTGGTCATCATTAACTATCTTATACCTAGCTAATCTGATTTACGACCCATTTATTCATTACAAGTAACTCATTCTCCACAAGAAGTCATCCTCCATTCACTCAGCATATAATAAAATACACCATACACGCTGGGAACCTACAAAAACAATTCATGACCTTAAAATCTCATATGTACAATAGTTGGTAGAAAAATATATACGAATTTAATGATGGCATGAAATGAGGGGGGGGTATGAATCGCCATAAACAAACTAAAATATAACAAGATGTCAAACAGAAAATAACAGACGTTAGTAAATCCCGTCCACCCGACAAAAATAAGAGTGACCGCTGTATTCCGTCTCCAGACAGAATCAAGAAGCTCACTCACTAACGGAGAGGGAAGGATAAAATAACTACGGGCGTGGGGAAATCAAAGACTGACGCAGTCGAGATGAAAAAATGAGGCCAAAAACAAATTGGGGAGGTTGGGAATCTCGACTTGGATCATAACAAAACAAAAACGGAGAACGACGCTTACATTAACTAGGTAAACAAAGAGAGTCTAACTAGGGGAGGGTTTCATAGTAAACTGCCCCGTTGTGACTCAAGGATAACCCCTTTCACACGAACTAAGCTCGCTTCTTTCACCCACCTTTCGCTGAAATCTGTCGCCATCTAACGCTTTCTATCATTTCTGATTTTCACCTTCAGCTGATACTGAAAGAATCCTACCAGAGCCTGATGAGAATAGCGTCACTATCGCAAGATTCCTTCTGTTGGTATCATCCAGTTCTCTATTCTTGCCTCGGCTAGCAGCGTTAGAAACACCATTCGTTTCAGCCCAGAATACGAGGGCGACACATCGCACACGTATGCAAGATTGATGAGCACGAGATTTTCGGGAGCGATACGAGCCGTCAAGTTGCCGACAATGTTAGAAGGCGTGCGAAGCCGTTTTCTCTAAACCAAGGTCACACCGATGATAGTTGGGCAAATCCGCTAGTCCGCTAGTTTGAGAGGTGTTGGGTGTGGGGGTGTTGAAGATGCAGCCTAGAAGGGAGACTTCTTCATGGGTCTTGATTTGATTGTTTCTTTTTGGCTGGAGAAGCAGGTACAGATTAAGACTTTGTTTTGTCCATGGCCTTCTCCGCCCACCTTTGGCCAGACCGTTTTTCTTTATTTTGAAATTCCCCCTTTATCACCTTTATCCTCCTTACCTTTTTTTTAAAGAGGACGGCCGGCATTTCTTGATATTCTTTCTTCTCTGCATCAAAGCCCTCCTTTTGTTGCTGTTTCTCCTGTCCCTACTGGCTCGCCTGTTCCAGTTGGGGCTTTTGCTGCTGTTCATTTTGCTGCTGCTGCTGCTAATTGCATTTCTGCTCCTGCTGCTTCTTTGGCTTCGTTGCGATTCAGGTCTCTTTCCAGGCCACTCTTTCAAGGGATGACCAGCGACCCCACAAGCCAAGCAGTGAAGTTGGCGCCCTTCTACCACAACATAGATTGGACGTCCTTCACAGATCAAAATACTGGGGACCGATATGAAATTCTTCCTGGTAACAGTCACCATAATTTCCACGTCTCTAGTGGCTATCCCAGACTTACTTTTGTTGGGCGAGACACCGGAGACCACCCCAAACTTGGCAAAGAAAAACCCAAATTGACCTCTGATATATACACAGATACTCCATGCAGGATTACATTTGTCTTTCTGGTTCCGAGGTATTCCGTTTGGAGCCTCATTGACTTGGTTGTGAGGATGCTCCTAGCCAGTGCTCTAGCAGCTTCTTCTGTTGTCAGCGTTACTTCGTCTGGCCAATATTTTGGCTTCAATATTTAGGCTTTTTTAGGGCCTCCTCCATGACCTCCCCTTTGACGCCGATTAATTTACGATTTTTGATGTCTGTAGTCAACACGGAGATGGTTCCGGTGTTCACCATTTTCTGAAGCTATGGCACCGGTAGCAGTTCGTTTCCCGAAATAAACTTCTTACACATTTCCTTCAGTCCATTATAATATTCTGGTCTTTTATTTATTTATTTTTTTTTTTGTGTGTGTGAGTCTGTCTTCTGCCCACGCTGAAGCGGCTTACTACCGTGGTTTTCGACTCAAGAAGTTGGGATTCTGCCATAGTGTTGGCGTTCCCACGACACCGTTAACAAAGAAAAACAATACAATGAACAAGAATTCATGTACGAAGAACAAAATAAGAAAACAAAATCCAAAAATAATGACGAACATGGACAAAATTAAACATTAACATTGAACAATGTAACGTTAAAATCAACTAATTAAAGGCGTTCAAGCTAGAAGCAAATTGAACTTTTTAGCTTATGTTCTTTGTATTTATAATGCCATGTTGCCAGAACGTTGTAGAACATTTCGAAACTTTTAGAAACTTCTTGAACATTCTTGAAACTTCTAGAAAGTTCTAGAATAGAAATATAGAATATTCACTTTCAGCAAATCAAAGCTGAATCCGTTTGAAATGTAATGGAAAGTAGGTAAATTCCAAAACATCGATGTCCAGGTCACATAAACAGAGTTTGAAGGTAATAATAGTCATTTCCTTTGCTATCTAGACATAATCAATTATGAAATAATATTAATCAAAGACAAAAAAGTCAAAATTTTGTTACACACTGTAATTGCAAAACTACATTTCCCGCCAGACAGCGAGACCATTACCGACAATAATGAGTCAAGTGATTTTTAAAATACAGTTTCATACATTATGAAATGGACAAAGTCCGACAATTATTTAGAGATTTTTTTTTTTATTTTTATACAGTTTCATACGAAATCATTCAAGCCGGACGTGACCTCCAGTCGATATTTATAGCTGATTTTTAAGTTAAGCTAAGCCAGTTTACATCTCCGGGTGTAAAATGAGCTTGGCTAGAATATGTCTCCCCCTTGATGCCAGAATATAAAACTTTCTTTGTTATATATGTTTTTATTATATCCACACATGATAGTCGGGGATGTTATTAAACATGCAGTGTAACAAGTTCGCAAAGATTTCTTGTATGCATTCAACAGCCATCAGTTTTATGCCGATTCCTCGGTTTCTTGATGTTGGTCAAAATGATTCAGGGATCATTTTTGAGATTGACCACTGTTGTTTTATATGTGCAGTGTACAAACTAGACTTTATTATGAACAAGTTTGTATATTCACGAGCACACCATTTCTTTTTATCCTGTAACTTAACTCAACAAGATTAGTTTTTAGAAACAGGAATACCTGATAATGCTGCGTGAGTTCATATCAGTCAGACTACGGTGAAATCACGCTGAAAACACCAGTTTTCATTCAATCATCACAGTTAAGCTGCATTGAGCTTGGCCATTACTTAAATGGGGGATCGTTTGGGAATACCGATACCATAAGTAACCATTCTACAAATTGAAATAGTCTTTGGCTTAAAATAAAATATTTAATATATATATATATATATATATATATATATCAAATATTTATAAATAAAATAAAATTAAAATAGCCCACAAAGTCTTGACATGCTGTAAAAAAATCAATCAATCTTATCATGTATGAAGTAATCTAACCCCAATCATAAACCGAGGTGGGAGTATTCTGGATAATTCTAAACTATGCCAATATACTGGTTAATCTGAACTGCTATAGCGACACATTTTTTTAATCATTTAATCCCATGCAAGGCGATAATACCACTAAGGCACAGTGGGGTGGGGGCTGCAGAAAGAGAATGAGAAGACATTAATTGTGGAATAGTGAGAAAAGGACAATAGAGGAACAGGGTTCAGAAAGATTGAAGATGGTGACTGACGTTGCATTTAAATTTTTAAAGAGTGTAGTTGACAGGGAAGCAAGAAATTGGAAAGGAGTTCCACAGGTGAGAAGTGCCAGAAAAAAAAAACAGTTAGAATACAACTGGCGGTTGCATCCAGGTCATTCAACAGTACAACGTAAAAGATAGTTGCACGATTAAATTCATGTCGTCGAGAAACTAGGGAAGAAAAGCCCCTAAGAACAGTTGCCATGAAAAAAAAAAATAAAAAAATGAATAAAAATAAATAAACAGAGGAAAGCCACGTCACGTCGGTGGGAAAAGTCATGATCGATTACATTACAGATCCATCTTTGAATTTTGTTAAGGATCTGGAGATATACTGCAGGAGTATCATGCCAAATATAGCAGCAGTATCCAATGCACTGGCGAATAGTGGATTTATAAATGTACAAGATGGATTCCGATAAGAACAATTTTCTGTCACCACCCCAGAGACGTTTAATAAATGTTTATTTGAACCAGTACCCTTTTTGTATAAATTGGAAAATTCCCAGCGGCATGTCTATTCAAGACAGCAGTCGTATTTGGTATAAAAGCGTCAGGGAATAATATCCAATATCTTCTTTCTGTTGTTGAAGAACTATTTAAATATTTTGGCACAAAACGCTAATAATCAAACGATATGTTGTGACACTATTTTGTTCAAAATCAATGAAGAGGTACGGTTTTCGAGATAAATCTCCAGTGGTGATATAATTATTTATTAGGGTCTGGCCCCAGGGTGCGAAGCGAAGCGTAAAAGGCACTTACGAAGACTGTTAGAGGATACGGAGGCTGTTTGCGCGTAAGCAATTTTATGGTGAATTATATCAACCACACACGTTGCGTTCAACTGAGGCAGTGACCCAGTCGAAGAGGCTGACTAACTGAGGGTGACATCTTTCTGGGTCCGCACGTACGAAAGATGGTTAAAATTCTTATCTGTAACCTTAGTCGTATTTTCCTTTTTATTTATTTTTTCTTTTTTTATCTTATTTTACCGGTCCTAACATTTCTATCATATCAGTCAGTTACTAATTTACTTACAGGACACTCGTCTATAGAACCAACTTTCTCAGTTCTTTCATTTATGTCATTACAGTCGGTTCCTTCTTAACCATTCTTCCTATCTATCTCTATCTATCTATCTATCTATCTATCTATCTATCTATCTATCTACATGTGTGTGTTTGTGCGTGCGTGTGTGTGTGTGTGTCCTCTTTAGGCACGCATCTCTGTACCTATCTAATTATATATCTAATCATCTATCATTGTTTATTATCTAAGTATTTGAATTTGTTCATTCTCTTTCTCTTATTCTATCTCTCCACACACACACACATATATATATATATATATATATATATATATAGACAGAAAGAGATAGAGAGATAGACAGACACGCAGGTAGACAGATAGACAGATAGACATATATATATATATATATATATATATATATATATATATATATATATATATATATATATTTGTCCTCATCTTTGCCACCATATTTATCACAACGTTTCGGCCGTTGTACGCTCCGGCCTTCTTCAGGTGGTTGGAATGTCGAACTGAACCCTTTATTTCTCAAGAACACATGGCACAGTGAATAAAGGCGTTGGTTAGATTCAGTGACAGGACCCAAAAAGTGTGAGTTCAATACCCGGTTAAGGCAGTGGAGAACTTTCAGAGGGAAATTAGCAGGAGATAACTGATAACTGACATCCATTAAAACATGGCACGTGGAACTAGAACAGTCTACCCCAGTGAGCGAAATAAAGGGTTCAGTTCGAAATTCCAACCACCTGAAGAAGGCCGGAGCGTACAACGGCCGAAACCTTGTGATAAATATGGCGACAAAGATGAGGACAATAGTCCGAATAATGTAAATAATGTACATAATATCTCATCTCAGAAATATAGACATATATATATCTATGTGTGGGAGTCCTAATTATGTATCTAATCCTATTACTATCTATCTATCTATCTATCTATCTATCTGTATATCTATCTATCTATCTATCTATCTATCTGATGATGATAGAAATAACTAG